TGGGCTCCTGATACCCTCATGTGAGATGTGGAAGAAGCTCCTAGTTCCTGGATTTGAACTGGCTATTATGGTCATTTTGGTGGTGAACCAGCATGTGGATGATCTCTCTTTTCCCTTATCTCTGTTTCTCTGACTTTTAAACAAACAAATAATCCTTTTTAAAAACATTATTTGAGGGGATTAACGTCTCATATGAAAATTGGTTAAAGGCACAGTTGTTTCACTTCTTTTTTTTTTTTTAAGATTTATTTTTATTATTTTTTCATTGGAAAGGTGGATATACAGAGAGGAGAGACAGAGAGGAAGATCTTCCATCCGATGATTCACTCCCCAAGTCAGCGCAACGGCCGATGCTATGCCAATCCGAAGCCAGGAGCCTCTTCCGGGTCTCCCACGTGGGTGCAGGTTCCCAAAGCTTTGGGCCGTCCTCGACTGCTTTCCCGGGCCACAGGCAGGGAGCTGGAAGGGAAGCGGGGCTGCTGGGATTAGAACCGGCGCCCATATGGGATCCCGGGCGTGCAAGGAGAGGACCTTAACCACTTGTGCCACCGAGCCGGGCCCAGTTGTTTCACTTCTGATCCAGCTCTTCCTTCCAGGGAAAGCAGTAGAAGATGGCCCAAGTACTTGGGACCCTGGACCCATGTAGGAGACCCAGATAAAGTTCCTGGCTTTAGTCTGGCCCTTCCCTGGCCATTACAGCTATTTTCAATCAGCTATATTAAAGGGTTCTCTTTTATATGTATAGAAAAAATTATAATGATTATATCAAAATGATCAAAAAAAATATAGGCTGAAAAAAGGGAAATATTATGAAGTATGTCTGATAACAAATTAATTTAAATGTTACATCATTTTTTTGTGTTTTGTAATTTTAGTGGTATTTATCAGTTTTTAAAACTTAAAATGTTGGGCGTGGTATAAATGTTGGGCCTAGTGGCTAAAGTCCTTGCATTGAACGTGCAAGGATCCCATATGGCACTGGTTCGTGTCCTGGCAGCCCCACTTCCCATCCAGCTCGCTACTGTGGCCTGGGAAAAGTAGCAGAGGATGACCCAAAGCCTTGGAACCCTGCATCCTTGTAGGAGACCTAGAAGAAACTCCTGGATCCTGGCTTCAGATCAGCTCAGCTCCGGCCATTGCACCCACTTGGGGAGCGAATCAGCGGACTGAAGATCTTCCTCTCTGTCTCTCCTCCTCTCTGTATATCTGACTTTTCAATAAAAGTAAAATAAATCTTTTTTAAAAACCTTTAAAATTGTCATAATTCTTTTCTCAGCTCTCTCTCATATGCATTTTTGGTATTTTTTTTAAAGGACTGCCAAATCATATAAGCTCCCATTCAGAATCCCTGTTAAGAAAAAAATCCACACAAAACCTGAATCTGACTTGGTCCAACACCTGACTCAAAACCTGGCACTGTTTGTTCAAACAATTGTCTAATTCCCATCATCAACCCAAGAGTAGTGAGTTGATTCTCAGCTTGGTGAAGGAGGGGCCAGCCTGGATTAAGAGTCTGTTAGCATAACCAGCCTCCAGATTTGACCAGGTTGGGAAGCAGGGAAGCTGAGACCACAAGACAAAGAATGTAACTGGTGACCCCCATATTGTTTCCATAATCAAAAAATAATATTTTTCCTGACATTTTTATTCTTCAAGAGTACAAAGTTAGTCATCATCGTCATTATCATCAATAAAATCTCTTCAAGATGCACATTTATTTTTATTTGGAAACTTTGAGTTATTTTCCTCATTTGAAAAAAAAAGTTATTTTTCTTTCCCTTTATTTGTATAATGTGAGACATATGTGAGTAGGATTACATAAGTTCCCAGGATATCAATGATTGAAAGGGACTGAGGTCATCCACATGAAGTCCAAGTAAAAATACTTTAACTTGAATTAATATATGTATTGTGACTGGATACTATTATTCTATTTGTGTTCTTTCTATACAAGTTCTTAAACAATTTTTGAACTCAAAAATTTCTAAATTGTTTCATCTCTATCAAATACTACAATTCTATGAAGTGCACAGTATTCTATGAAGCTCTCTTAAAGACAGACTCATATCTAGAAACACAGTTTATGGGTACAGTTTCTGAGTTGCCAACACCCAGAACTAGACCCACACTTGAGATCAGGTTGAAGGTGACAAATGATGCCAGTGACATCTAGAAGTACTAAGTGGTTTCACAATAGGTGCTAAAAATTTATGTGAAATCTACATGTTCTAAGCTTTTCTGTCAGTACTTTAATCTATTTGCATAAGATCATAGAGTAATTATTTCACAGTTAAGGTGTTTCTTATGTATAAAAAAAACCAAATTTTATGTAAAGGGTCTTTTAAGAAATAGAATTAATAAATAATTAGTTATGGGCTAAAAAGCTTTGCCATTAAAGGGAACTTTCTAACTTTCTAATTCCAGATCTGTGTGGGGAGAAGAAATAAAATATCACACCATGATTACTATACATTTCCTGCTTTCTTTCAAAACTTCATGTAAGAATAATCTCTTTCTACATAGAAAATTTACTAAGACTAACCACACCTAATATTTAACCTTAAGTGAGTAGTCTCTTAAAACCCTTCATACACATTTTTTTTTACAACAAGAAACATGGGTTTTTTTTGGTTGTTGTTAAGATTTTAAAATTTTTTGTTTATTTGGAAGGCAGGTTTCCCAAATGGTCACAATGGTCAGAGCTGAGCCAGACCGAAGCCAGGGGTCAGGAGCTTCTCCTGGGTCTGCCACATGGGTACAGGGGTCCCAGGACTTGGGGTATCTTCCACTGCTTTACTAGGTTCATTAGCAGAGAGCTGGATTAGCAGTGGAGTCACCAGGACTTGAACAGGTCCCCACACAGAATGCTGGCATTGTAGGCAGTGATCGAACCCAGTATGTTGCAGTGCCAGCCCCCAAAGGGCATATTTTTAAATGTCTTCTTAATGTTCAAATATTTCTTTTATTTAAAAAATTTTAGAAGAATTAAGCAAGAATAATTTCATTAGCTTGTAATTAGATTGTGTCTATTCTGAGAACTGAATTGAAACGTAAGGCATCTTCTGATCAAGTAGAATGACAATATCTTTAACATGTTGTATTTATCTGTTGAAATGTCACCAATATTAAAATTGCTTATTTTAGGGGGTCTGAGTTGTAGTATAGCTGGTTGAGTGAAGTCAGCATCCCATGTGGGCACCACTTCCAATTCCTGCTGTTCTTCCAATCAAGCTCCTTGATAATGTACTTGTGAGGACAATGGAAAGTGGCCCAGATGCTAAGGTCTCTGCCACTGACATGGGAGTCCTGGAAGAATCTCTTGGCTCCTGGCTTCAGCCTGATCCAGTGAACCAGCAGATATGAGATCTCTCTCCCCCATCTCTGTCTCTCCCAGTCTCTCTATAACTGTGCCTTTTAAGGAAATAAATAAATATTTTAAAATTATTTTTAATTCTGGTACACCAGTGTTCCTAGATCTAAAAATCTATCCATGATCTGATATGTTTCAAAAAATGGGCAAATGTGTGCTTCTTACCTTTGCTTAATGATCACACTTTGGAGCCTGCCAACATAACCAATAGTTTTCTGTTCTTGGAATTTCCCCCATAATGTAAATCAACTGCTTTTCTGAAGAGTTATTTTGGTCAGAGTGAACAGAAAGGTTTTCAAAAAAATTGAGCTGTTGAACACAGGAGAAAAACCGAAAATAAAGAGAAGTAAAATCATAGAAAATTGGTGGTATCCCAGATGGGAGCTTTCAGATTTGAAAAAAATCTCAATCATAAACAAATTACAAATGAGATCATTGAGGCTCACTGAAATTCAGTTACTTGCCCAAGGTTTAAGGAATCAGATACCAAAGCAGTTTTGACTCTAGTCTCTCCTGAGCACTTCATGCAATCGTGACAACCATCAACAGTAATGTCAGTGGTTTGCACCAATTTTAGCATCTTTTCTAAAGAGATTGAGTTCTAGTGTTTCCTGGGCAGGTGGAGTAGCTCCATCGCAGTCACTCGCCATCGTCCAGAATCCGCGGACTTCAGGCATGCACCTGCGCTGTGCTCCCCACGTCCCCGCAGGCGTTGAAAGGACGCTGAGAATTCCAGCTATCTGCCACCCGGGTCCATCACACCTACATCTGCCCTGCCGACCTGTTCCCTGAGAGAGATGACTCCTCACCAGAATGGAAGGCTGTCGGAGACAACTCCCTTAAACTCGAGCTGCAGTGCACTCCCAGACAGTGAACATGACTGTACTTCTCATTCTCATTGCCACTGTTGGAACTTCTGCCAACTTTGCTTCGCCAGCCAGTTTGTGCTATTTGAAACTTGTTTGCTTCATCAATAGAAACCTGCCAACTTGCACTTTTTGAATGATTAGTCAATCATGAGTGTAGTTGTGTAGTTTTAAAAGTTAACGAATCATAAGTGTTACTGTGTTAACCAATCACGAATGTAACCATGTGGAATCCCATAGACTGTGATATTCACCCCACACCAACCTGTCTCTGGGTCTCAACCTGGAGTCACAGCGACAGTGACGCTTGGGGCCCGAGCTCAAGCTTGAATAAACCGCCCCTGTGCACTTGCATTGACATCAGACTCCTGGTGATTCATTTGGGGAACTCAAGACCTGAGCATAAGAGCAAAGTTGTGACTGTCAAAAGAGATCTGGGCACAACATTCCTTGCCTAGGCCTGGAGGCTTTGCTGCTCACTGTTGGAATACCGTGCAAGTCCTGTACCAACCAGTACCTGCTAGCCCCTGTGGGATCCGGGCGCCCACATGCTGCTGAGCTCCCGCTCTCCAGGACCCAGGATGACCCAGGCAGGTGGAGAGAGGTCTCCTGTTGGCTGGTTCACTCCCCTGTATTTGTGCAATGGCCAGGAGTAGACCAAGCTGAAGGCAGGAACTGGGGACTCAGAGCAGGGCTCCCCTGGGCTATCAGGGACTCAGTGCTGGAGCCAGGAGGACACACATTCCCAGGAAGCTGGATTGCAACCCACGTGCTCTGATGTGGAGTGTGGGCATCCCAGGTAATGGTTTGCTGAACATGCTGGAAGCGGTGCCATGTGAGCTGATCGCATGCTGCCTTCACATCCCTTGCAGGAGTGTTGTGTGCCTGCTGCTGCAGGTGTGCAGGTGTGATGTCCTCGGGAAAGTATGGATTGTTAAGTCCAGGTGAATCTGATGTGCAGAGACTCTCAGCATGTGTCTGCATCACTGTACTAGGCAGCTACACCATGGGTGCTGAGGTCTCTGCCTTGGAGTTATACTATCGGAGGAAGTCCATGGCCATGGAGTCTGTGTCCATGGGGCACCCAGATTTCTGATTTCACTGTGGTGAATTGATGCCAAGTGCTGGGACCCCATAGCCTGTGGCTAAGCCAGTTCACATCAATGCAGGTGGAAACCCCAAAGGAACAGTCGTTTCACTGGTCCTTTGCTTTACATCTCTTGGTGGTGTTCGTGGATAACTGAGGGACAGATGAATAGAGGCCACCACAAGAAATATCACCAGAGTTGCTGCTTGCTGCTGGCTCAGTGCTCCCTGAAACTGCTGTTTGCATGAGATCGTCTCCAGACCTTGAGCCTCGGGCTGGCTCTGGCTTTGATAGTTGTGCCTCAGAGGGCCCCGGCAGTCAGGGGGGCCAGGACAGTGGCTTATATTGGAATGACTTCAGTAGCCAGTATCTCTTGGATTTTTATACCTGTTTATTTTCTACTGACTTAACAATAAACCTTGAAGACAGCTCTGCCTGCCTTTTAAGTCCGTAGCAACCCTCGGCGTGCCAGGACTGGGCTTGAGGGAAGGAGATTCCTGGGCCAGATCATGGGTTCGCTCAGGCTCTTCCTGTTGGGTACACACACTGCGACTTAGAAAGGGAAATGGGGCATTGATTTGAGGTGTGAGTTTCAGGACTGGAACGTGAATAGTTGCTGCTTGGTTCATGTTTAAGGCATTTGTTTCAGGGGCAAAGAGAGTGTGTCCCTAAGCTGGGAGCCCAGAACACAACCCAAGTCACCCATGTGGGTGGCAGGAAGCTAACTGCTTAAGCCATCACCTCTGCATCCCAGGGACTGGTTAGCAGGAAGCTGGAACCAACAACCAGAGCCTGGGATCCAAACCAGGCACTGTTGCAGAACCCTGGAACCCGAATCTGCCCACAGGAACCCAGGAGGTGCTTACAAGGCATGGAACAAGGAGCTGGGCCACCATTAACCAGCTCCCAGGCTAGCTCCAGGGAGAGGGGTTGAAGGTTCTTCAAAATGAAGATAGGGTTCAGAAGTATATATTCAACTCCAACGTAGGTTTATTTGTTTGTTTGTTTTTACTTTTGTTGTTGTTACTGTCCTTAATGACACTGCAATAAAGTCACATGGTTGATTCTTTCGATATCAACAAAAGTTTGCAAACACTTTGTTGCAAAAATTGATATACAGAGAGAAGTAGAGACACAGAGAGAGAGAGATCCACTAGTCCACTCCCCAGACAGTGCAATAGCTGGAGCTGAGCCAAACCAAAGCCAGGAAACAGAAGCCTACTGTAAGCTTCCTATATGGGTGCAGGGGTTCAACCACTTGGGCCATCTTCTGCTGCTTTCCCAGGCCATAAGCAGAGAGCAGGGTCAGAAGTAGAGCAGCCGGGATACAAACTGGTGTCCCCGTATGGGATTGGCTTGTAAACCATTGCACCACAAGCTTTTTTCTGTAAGGCCAATATTTTACACTTGTAGGCCACAATTTTTGTTTCATAGTATTCTTTTCTTTTAAAGATTTATTTTTATTGTTTTTTTTTTTTTATTGGAAAGGCGGATATACAGAGAGGAGAGACAGAGAGGAAGATCTTCCATCCGATGATTCACTCCCCAAGTGAGTGCAACAGCCGATGCTATGCTGGTCCGAAGCCAGGAGCCTCTTCCGGGTCTCCCACGCGGGTGCAGGGTCCCAAAGCTTTGGGCCGTCCTCGACTGCTCTCCCGGGCCACAGGCAGGGAGCTGGATGGGAAGCGGGTCTGCCGGGATTAGAACCGGCGCCCATATGGGATCCTGGGCGTGCAAGGCGAGGACCTTAACCACTTGTGCCACCGCGCCGGGCCCCATAGTATTATTTTAAAATGTTTTAGTCCCTTATAAAAGTAAAAGTAAATTTTAGCTTGAGCTCTAAACAACAGGCTGAAAGCCAGATTTGATTCCAGGGCCAGTAGTTTGCAAATCTTTGCTGTAAGCCAGAGTCTGGTAAATAAAGTTTTCACTGATCTGGGAAAAAAAATTTTTTTTAATTGCTAATATTGTGAGATAAGTTCATTGACTACAAAGGACTTTCCTCTTTCTGATAATGTGTGCTTCTTCCATTATGGAGGAAGGGAAGGAAGCATTAAAATGTTCTTTCTTCTTATGCAACAATGATAATATGAATAATAGTTTGTTCTTTTTCTTTTCTTTTTGTTGTTTTTTTTTTAAGCTTTTGCTTTAAATAAAATTTTATCCACAAAGATTTTAAATTTATTTTGGAGGCAGAGACAAACAGAGACACAGAGAGATATATACACACATAGAGAGATACAGATACAGCACCCACCCACTGATTTACTCCCGAGATGCCTGCAATGGCCATCACTAAGCCAGGCTGAAGCCAGGACTAGGAACTCAATCCAGGTACCTAATGTGGGAGGCAAGAGCCCAGCTCCTTGAGTTCTATGGTGTGCAAATGCACATAGCTAGAATCACTAGCAGGGACTCAAAACTAGGGACTCCCACACAGGCCTGACATCTTAACTGCTAGGCCAAATACTCACCCCATTCTGTTCTTTGGTTTTTTTGGGGTTGAGAAAAATATGACCTGTGTTGCTAGTTAAAAATTTATGTATACCGTTGATCCTTGAGATCCTAAAGTCTGAAAGAATCTTCAAGAATATTTACTGCTCCTAAACCAGGTATCTGAGACTCTTCAAATGTGTCCAAAGGACACTCACAACTGATGCAACATAAAGCTTAATTCTAAGAATCCTCAGTTTGTTCTGGCAACTATGTCAGATCCATTTGATAAGCTCTCGTGGCCCATGTATTTGATGACAGATTGTTCCTTTACATGCTAAGCTATGTTGCTCAGCACAGTTATATTTATGGTCTTACATAGCAGAAAGAGCCCTTCTTGTGACCTGTCTCTTCTATTACAGAGTCCAATAAGAAAAAAGGTCATGTATTCATTAAATACAGAAAGCAGATTTTATTCACATTTTTATATGCCATTGCATTAAATATTGTAGTAACAACACTTTTCTGGTTGAATAAAAAATAAATGAATAAAAGATCAGAAGTCCAGAGTATGAGGATATTTTTAAAGTTCAAGGAAAATGGAATTAAAATAGGCTTATTTTCAGACACCCAAATCAAATTTTGTCTGGATTCTTCCTAACACACATTTTTTTATGAACTTTTTGAAAACTCCTCGATGTTGGAAGGATTACTACTCAGATAGAAGACTACTGGAATTTGATAGATACTTTGGGACAAAATATGTGAACCCTTTAGACAAACTAAAAATCTGTCATCTTTTCAATATTTACAAAAAAACTTTCTAATATTTACCAAAAAAAACCCCAATATTTACAAAGCAAACATTAAACATGTATTCAGAGGCAAGGCTAAGTGCTTTATGGAAGGATTTATTAGCTAACTACTGCTACCTAACAAATTACCTCAAAACTTAGCAGTTTTAAAAACAAACATTTATTATCTAGCATATTTTTTTAAAGATTTATTTATTTTTTATTACAAAGTCAAATATACAGAGAGGAGGAGAAACAGAGGGGAAGATCCTCCGTCCGATGACTCACTGATCTGAGCATATTTTTTTTTTTACCAAGAATTGACAAGAAGCACAGCTGACAATTTCCAACTTAGGGCCTTTCATGGCCTTACAGTCAAGCTGTCAGCTGGGGCTCTAGTCATTCAAGGCTGAAGGCTTGAATGTGGGTGGAGCATGCAGTTCCAAAATTACTCACTTAAAGGAACACTCGTTTCTTTACCTTGGAGACCGCTTGAGTGTCCTCTAGGTAAGGCAGCTAGCCCCAGAGAAGTGATCGCTCTCCTAGTGTTTGTTTTTCTGCTTTAAAAAGAAACTTATTTATTTATTTTGAAAGTAAGAGATAGAGAGATCCTCCATCTAATGATTTACTCCAAGAGGGCCACAATGACCAGGGCTGAGCCAGGCTGAAGTCAGAAGCCAGGAGCTCCATCCATATCTGCCACATGGGTAGCAGGGACCCAAACAACCCGGGCCATCTTTGTGGCTTTTCCCAAGCCAATAGCAGGGAGCTGGGACAGAACTGGAGCAAACAGGATATGAACCTGCACCCATATGGGATGCAAGCATCACTGGTGGTGGCTTTACCCACTATGCCACAAGTGGTACCTCTCCTCCATTGTTCTAAACAACTCAGCTTTAAGTTCAGACTTGCATATCCTTAATATCATCATTAAAGATGGTTTATTATCTTTAGCATGGAAAAAAAGGTGACATTTAGCAGCCCCAAGTAGTTAACTTAAATATTTATTTCAACCCATATACACAAAGCATCACTTATACAATTTTCTCTACATGACAATACTTTCAGCAGTGTTTCAATGCCACAACAAGGTTTTAGACACCAGAATTATAGTATGGCCTAAAGCATTATCTTGTTATACTCTAGTTTGTTCTGACGAAAGATAAAATATTGTCAAGAATACTGGATAGAATGTCTTAGAAGAACATTTCCTACAGATGATAACTTTCAAAACTTGTAAAGGGGCTGGCAACATGGCATCACAGGTAGAAGTCGCTGCCTGCAACACCGGCATTTCATATGGGTAATGATTAACTTCCAGGCCGCGTCACTTCTGATCAAGCTCCCTGCTACTGGCATGGGAAAAGTAGTGCAAGATGGCCTGAGTTTAGGGACTCTACCATCCACATGGGGGATGGGAGATGAAGTTCCTGGCTTCAGCGTGGCTCAGTCCTGAATATTGTAGCCATCTGGGGATTAAACTAGTGGATGTTTTTCCTCTGTAACTCCGACTTCCAAATAAATAAATAAGTCTCTTTCAAAAAGTATATACTTGGACCTGGTATGGTAGCCTAGTGGCTAAAGTCCTCACCTTGAACATGCCAGGATCCCATATGGGCACCAGTTCTAATACCAACAGTCCTGCTTCCCCATGCAGCTGCCTGCTTGTGGCATGGGAAAGCAGTTGAGGATGGCCCAAAGCCTTAGGGCCCTGTGCCTGTGTGGGAGACCTGGAAGAGGCTCCTGGCTTCCGGCTTCAGATCGACTCAGCTCCAGCCATCGTAGCCACTTGGGGAATGAATCAACAGACAGAAGTTTTTCTTGTTTGTCTCTCCTCCTCTCTGTATATCTGACTTTCCAATAAAAAAAATAACTAAGTAAATCTTAAAAAAAAACAACGTTGTTTATAACATCTCCTCTCAAGAATTTTGTTCTATTGTACATAGACATGCACATGCATACTAGATAATTTTTATATTAATGTTGGTTTATGTTGATTTTAAAAACACATA